AGGATGAAAACAGGATTAACAGGATCCAGTACTTTCCTAATGAAACACAAATGTCGTGATAATGAATACATCAGCTGATCCTTGAAGTTGACACGTGTTTAACTTACCAATCATTTCGTCGCCAATGACAAAAAATGACTTCCCACTAGCACCTGCCAGAGAGGAGCAACAGACAGATCAGTCAGAGTCTCTGGAGGCCAAATATACGGCCATATAAAGCCGCTCTTACGATACCTACCCAGTAAGACGATAGCGTTGATCTGCCCGAACTCTGGCACCTCCAGAGGTTTGCCGTGCATTACTGCGCTAAACCCAGCTCTCAGGAAATCCTGAATGAAACTGTCTGAATACTGCTGGACCTTAGAGACCCTGAAGACCAGTCTGAATGTCACCATCACCTCACCATTTATGTTACTGGGAAGACAAAGAAGGAACTTTTTTTTTTCAAGACTCCTCCACTTGGTGTAAATGTTCCAGCTGTGTGTACTCACCCATAGGCAACAACAGAACAATCAACATAGTGATGTGATATTGATGAAGCGCCGAAGACATTTTTGACCTAGAACATGACGGCATAAAATAGCACGGTTGAAACAGAACACTGGCCTTTCATTTGTGTGACACTCAGTACCAACCTTAGACTTCAGAACGGAGGACAGGACTATAGAGAAACCAGAGTTCTCATCCTGTAAAACAGGATCGTACTTCAGACCCTTCAGCTCCACCGTATCCATGAAATAACGCTCCTCCTGCACCAGAAAGGCTGAGAGACAGAGACAGAGAGAGAGAGAGAGAAGGTCAATACAAACACGTTCGTCTCACCTCTCAAAATTAACAGTAAAATGAATTAAATCATGACATGTTTCAAAGGTGAAACAACAGAAATATTTAGGTACTTTTTCAGGACTCACCAATTAACAGTCCTACAAAGACTCCAATAACCAGGACTAAGAAAAGCAAAGCTACAAGTCCGCTCCTGCAGCAGGTGTAGGAAGATGACCACGGCCCTCCTCCTCCTCCTCCTCCTTCATCCTTCTTCCCCTCCATGATGATTCACAGCACCAACCTTCCAGCTAACATTCCACTGACTTCATCATCATCGCAGCAAAATGATCCGCCTGACAAGAATTACAGAAAAAGAACGTAGTAAAGATTAGGTTTAGCGACACACACGAGCGTTAACGCAAACATATTCAAATTTTAAATAATTCTTCCCTAATTCCTCAGTTTCCTTTAAGTCATAAATTCATTCAACATTTCCGGTGTTCATGTAACAAATCCATCCATTACTGCTCATGTAAGTGAGCTAGTTTAGATGTTGTCCTGAAACCGCCTTTCTTTCACATATACTGCACCCGGGAGTGCCCTGGCGCCCCCTAGGGGTCGACCCCAAAAATCATACAATATTACTTTCATCATTTTCATCCAACATATAAATGCAATGTTTGCAAAACATTGACAAATGATACATGAACGCATCCAAACAGGTTAACATCGTCACATATTCTTTTAATTCAATAAGAAATTATTATAATACTTATTATAATAGACTTATTACAATAGAATAATACTTCAGTTTAAAATTGTAAGGTCAAGAGCTCATGTCGTGGCTGGCAATTTTTAAAGGGATACAGAGAATTTAAGTGAACATTTAATAATGATGCCAGTGTTTGTTATGTTTTTGATGCAACATCACAACAGTTGGTTTATCTTCATAACATTTCTTTATGCATTAGGATATTCTGTCCTATAATTATGTCAAATTAAAAATGGTAAAACAACAACAACAACAACAAAATAAATAAATAAACAAGATGTTATAGGTTTTGTTTTTTTGAGAATGGACACCTTTCCACCGGCACAAAATGTTAAATTGTTAATTTTACCATAAATAATTGGGAGAAATGTAATGGTACAAAAAATTTTAAAAAAATAACGTAAATGGTTGGTCAAA